TATTTTGATGGTATCTGATCATTAAGAATCAGTTTCATAAATAATTAGTGTATTGCAGGACTGAAAATTTCCCTACCTTTTTTGCCGCTTGCTAAAAAAGAAATGTCATTTAACCTGGAATATACTAGATACATGGTGGACCTATATAGACGAAAGCAAGTAATTTACAACTTACAGAGTGTGTCCCAATACAGAATTTGTCATTATGAATGACGCCCTCCCCTCCTCTTATCACGCATCCGCATGCACCGTCCTCCAGAAGTCTAGTTTGCTGTCGGGTTCGCCGTCGCCAAGCTTAGATTCAACCGACAGGACCTGTCCCATCGACATCCTGTATTCGCTCCAGCCATCAGTTGCAACAAAGCTTGGCTGGGTGCCGACTGGGTGCCGGGTGCTGGCTGGCAGCCTGACTCGGGAGGCAAACCACCTGGCCACCGCATCCGCAGAATTCCCAAGCACTGATGCTTCAGCAAATAAATCACAGGTTGCAGTTTCTGCAGTATAAATCCCACCCTGAAGCTCCATTACTCAGTTTTTTGCGTTTTCATTCAGATACCCCTCTTTTGTTTTGTTGGTGACTGTCATCTATTGACTATTTTCAGCTGTCAGCATTTGCGTGGTGCAAATGTGACGCACTTCTTACTGTGCAAGTCATTTAAGTTTTAATTAGGGATTGAGACGAGGTACTAGTTGACGGATGGGATTGATTGTTCGGAATTAATGAACTAATTGTTCGATCACCCTGGTCGGGTGTGCTAGGAAGTACACGTTCCGCCCGGCTAGTTCTTCAGCCATCATCGTCCTCACCGCTTAGCCTATCGGCAGAGCACTGTCCTCACAATCAGAAGACGCCGGTTCGAATCTCAGCAATTCCAGGCAGATGATCCGGGTTGTGACGCGTACAAAGCTGAAAGCCGAATGTCAGCCAGTCCTTCTCAGGACCCACGGGCGCCTGACGACGGCTAGGGAATGATCTGATCGTGATCTTGTGTGAATGATATCAAATTAGACGAGGACGTGAATCCGACCGACTAAATCGTCCATGGCGTTAGTCATATTCATTATGAAACATTACGACGTGCTCTACTTGTATATAAGCAAGCTAGAGCTGATTCTGCGCATAAATTACGTAATACACGAGACTTGGCTGTCAGACATAGGCTGCTGATGATGCGTAAATAAACTGAGCTGCCTAGCGGCGAATGAAAAGAAATTGTCAGTAACATTTTTCGGCCGGCTCCTGTATGTCTGTGCGTGTGAAACTATACTGGCCAAACCTGACTCATCTTGCTTGAGCTGTTCCATTGATATACTCGAATATGTCTGTCAGCCATGTAGCGTTATATGCCCACCGCTTTACGATATGTTCACATCAATGAACTGTGGCAGCCATACGCGCCTCATGACCCCATATGCCGTCATCACCCGGCCGCCATGACGTCATCAACACATAATTTCCCACTTATCACCGAGGTTATCAGCGCTTGTCATCAGACGCACGACTACCGCCATCACCGACAAACACCGCCCGGCACGACGTCATTGTCAACAATATTTCGCGATCTCGCGCGTAGATTGTCGCGTTGACATTCGCTGCAGACGATCATACCATAAACAGGGACACATGCAGCGCGCGTTTCACGGAGGCCGAGAGGGGCGGCCACCGTCCGGGTGCGGCCGGCACCGACCACCTAACTGAAGCGGCCGACCATCGCCCCATGTCACTCCCCTGCCACCTCCTGTTGCGACGCCTGGCGCCGCCCCTGCAGCGCCCGCATGCGTCCCGAGCACTGATTGGCCGGCCAGGCGGGCGCCAGCGGGCCGCTGTGCAGGTGAGGGACGAGGACCGCCGCCCGGACTGCCGGCGAGCAGACGCCGGTCAGAGGCGTGTTTTTCGGCTGAAAATCGATACAGCAGGTCGAGCGGCGGGCGCCCGCTGAAGACGTGTTGTGTGGACGTCGCTGCCGACGGGTGCTGAAAAACAGGTGCGACTGTGAGCCGCCGCCGCGCCGCCTGGCGCGTGTTTGCGTGTTTGCTTTGTGAGCGGCCGGTGCCTCTGTGCAAGCACATTTTGAGTTTCTGGTCATTGTTGACGACCGTAATTAGGTAGATAAGATTTCCGGCGATGTGATGTGCCGTCCCCGAGTCTTGGGATCTGTTTCAGCACCGGCAGGTTAGAGAAGGCTTATTAGGGCAGCTGCCTCATTTTCACTGGTAACCGACCGCAACGTTCTGCAGTCTCCGATGCCGCCAGCTGCCTGCACTTTTTTATAATGGGGGGGGGGGGGGAGCGAAACATCATGCAGAAGACAACGTTGCGGCGGCACGAATGTCATTTTCGGGTTCATTTTCTCTGTACAACGCCGAATGCTTGATGTTGGCTTTCGAGATGCAGATGGGATGCACCTGCATCCCCAACCAACAGTGACTCCTAACAACAGTTCTCCTGCCTCTAATGGATGCCACTATGCTATGTTGGCAATAAATCACCGGCCTGCACCGGTGATCTGTGCGGCGACGCCGGCGTCCAAAAGCTCGCGCGTATCGATGTTGTCACCGGAGGTCCCAGCCGGCGATCAATCGTCCTCAGGCCGCTATTTATACAGCGAGGCTTTCAGGTGTTCCCGAAACGTCGGTGTCTCATCGCTGCCTGCCGTCCAGTGCACCGTTTCTTAAGGGTTCAGGAATAGACTTCAGCCCGTAGGGAACGTGGGGCTCTTAGGGAAGAACTAGATGAAAGCACCTCCATGCTAAAAATTGACAGAGTCGGGGTGGGAATGGAAAGCATCATTAAATTTCAATACGGCGTGTACCTGGAGTATCCATTTTCCTCTTGAAGAGACCGTACCTACCGACGTTGAAGCAGGCGCCAGTCTGGACCAGGCACGCCGAACCGGACGCGCGCTAATCTTACAGATCACCGCAGCATTCTGAGCGCCATCTGTGTGGAAGAAAGTAATATCCGGCGGCCAAATGGCCTACGAAATAGTCGCGGTGTTCCCCAGGGGAGGCCACGTTCGTTACTGACCTGCCCAAGCCCTGATTAACTTGATCGTGCTCGTTAAGTCTGGGGCATGATGCGCCGTAGCCGCCGTTATGTGTGACGCTTCAGCGTTTTGATGCACCCCGACAAAGACTGGACACAATCCCTCCACTGAGATGTGTTCCAGTGTCTTAGAGACCGACAGTCCAAAATTTTCAATAGCTTTGCACTTGTAAAACGCGTCAGGTTAATCTACGCTGCGTTGATTCCGCAGCGCTGAAAGCCTGTCGTGTTTTATCACCAGCCCCGCCACACCCCGGAAGCTGCTCGGAGATTCAACGACGGGTCGATGGCTCCCACGCGGCGGGATGTTTATCCACTGTTCTTTTTTCCGACGAGACCAAAACCTCTCCTGCCTGAGATCAAAGCAGACACAAAGTCTCGCGCTTGCAGACCGCAGGCAGCTTCTTCCGGGAAGTCGTATGTTTGGATGGACAAGCTAAACTAACAACATTCCGTTTCCGACCAATCACGGCCTCTCGCGGATGTCAGGACCAATCGGGTGTCCTGCCGGCTGATGGAGACGTAGGCGTGGTTGAGAGGAAGGGAAAACGTTACCAGGGAGGAAAGGGGGCATAATTGAGGGCGGCGGAGGGCATGATTGAGGGCAGCAAAGATATGTTTGAGGGAGATGGTGGGCATAAGTAAGAGGGGCGGAGGACATTACTGACGGTGACAGAGGCACGGTCGATGTCGGCGGGGGGGGGGGGGGCGGCATGATTGAGGACAGCGGAGGTATGATGAAGTGAAATGGAGTGCATAAGTGAGAGGGGCGGAGGATATTACTGACAGTGACAGAGGCACTGTTGAGGTCGGCGGGGGGCATAATTGAGGGCGGCGGAGGTATGTTTGAGGTGAGATGGTGGGCATAAGTTAGAGGGGCAGATGACATTACTGATGGTGACTGTCGCAAGACTGAGGGGGATGGGGGCATCATTAAAGAAGACTGATAAGGGGACGAAGGACATGATTGAGCGAGCTTAGGGCGTGTTTGGAGCGAACGGAGGCATGATAAACGTGGAAGGAAAGCGTGAAGGAAGAGGGCGAAAAGCATCATTGATGAGGACGGAAGACATAATAGGGACGGAGGGCATTGTGAGAAAAGCGAGGCATAACGGGGAGGCGCTTGACTGAAGGGACGGGTCATGATTTACAGGCCTGGAGGGCGCTTTACGTTCATTCTTTTTATGTAAGTAACCTAATTGGAGGAACGCCCCCCCCCCCCCTCCCCCCAGAACTTCAGGTAGCACCGCCCGTGCGATCAATGGCCCCTGATGTTTCGGCCTGTCGTGGCCATCTTTCCCGTCAATGAATGTGCAAGGGTACCAATGATATGCCTTGCAAAACGAGTAACGAGTAATGTCCCGTCCCCAGTGCTTTGCTGCCATCGACACAGATAATGTTTCCGCCTTTCAGTGACGGCAAAGGCGTCATTATTAATCGCCTATTCTGAGCACTGCTTTGCGGAGACGGGATTATTCGGCTGATTGCCACAGCGACTCGCGGCCGACCCATGATGTCACGAAGGCGCTGACGCATGACGTCACTGCGCAGCGTCACGCTTCGGTCCCGCGCAGGTGTTCCTCGCCAGCACGCGCGGAGACAGCCCCCCTGTCGGCAGATTGGGTGCACCTGCGGGCGTACCACCGCCTGCGGGAGGCACGCAGTCAACCCGTGGGAGGGCACTGGGCGGGGCAAGTCCGCGCCGACAGCCGACCACGCACCGCGGTGTTTTGCGTGGTGCAGACATGGTGCTCTGTACGGTCTGAAGCACCGACCTGACTGACCCGAGGTCAAATCCGCTGCTTTGCGGGCGCACCTGTACGCTCGTCCCCGTGAGGTTTTGCTGTGTGTCGTGAGTACTAACCAGACGCCACCATCCAAGACTCTTGGTGACCTCTTTGTGACCTCCGCGTGACTTCTGCATGACCTTGGTGTGACCGCTGCGTTCCTGAAGGCCGGCAGAATGCGTCGGCGCGCGGGAAGCCGGGTGGCACGCACCCTGTCGGAGGAGCCACCGTCCCCGGTGCGCTGGGTGCCGGAGGGCAGGGCACACGGCCGCGCCAGTTACGCAGGCATCAGCAGTCGGCCCGAGGTCAAGGCCACCGCCCAGCCGCTGTCGCTGCCGCCCGATCTGAACGCCACCAAGCGCGAGGTCACCGCTAAGGTACTGCAGCGACCCCGGTTGTCGCCAGGTCAAGGCCTGGTGCCGAGCGAGGGTGAGGTGAAAAAGGGTCGGCCAGGACCCAAGGTACAGGGAAGGGCGACAGATAATCATATAAGACGCTTTCGCAGATAAAGCATTTAGTTTTGTGGTGGGGAGCTTAAAGTAGACTCTCCGTGGCATCTGTTTGAGTCATTTTAAGCTAGGATCGCGGCTTGTTACCAGACCTCTGACTGTTATCTTCCCGCCTCCGGATTGCAGCTGCCGGGGTGTGGTCGATCAACCATTTAAGGTCGGCTTGAGCTCGGGCGCGGCTCGTTCGGCCGGAAAGTGATAGAGCCTGGGAGCTGGGAGTGCCAGGGAGCTTGGAGCGTCTGGGAGCTGGGAGCACAGGGAAGCCAGGAGCGCCTGGGAGCCGGGAGCGCCTGGGAGCTGGGAGGACATGGGAGTTGGTAGCCCCTGGGAGCTGGCAGCCCCTGGGAGCTGGGAGTGCCTGGGAGCTGGGAGTGCCTGGGAGCTGGGAGTGCCTGGGAGCTGGGAGTGCCGGGGAGCTGGGAACATCTGGGAGCTGGGAAGGCAGGGAAGGTAGGAGCCCCTGGGAGCCGGGAGCACCTGGGAGCTGGGAGCGCCGGGGACCTGGGAGCGACTGGGAACTGGTAGCGCCGGGGAGCTGGGAGCGACTGGGAACTGGTAGCGCCGGGGACCTGGGAGCGACTGGGAGCTGGTAGCGCCGGGGAGCTGGGAGCGACTGGGAGCTGGTAGCGCCGGGGACCTGGGAGCACCTGGGAGCTAGCAATGCTGGGGAGCTGGGAACGACTGGTAGCGGCCCGGGTGGCTCTGCCGTGGAGCAGACTTCTCCGACCGTGAACGGAGAATGGAACTCGACGCAATGAAAGCGTCGACGCTGCGGTTGAGCTGGTTAGTAGATAAGTAGGCTAGTAGGTTAGTAGGTTGGTTAATAGGTCTGAACTTTTGGTCGGATTGGCTGCACAGCCGTGAGGCACCGAAAGCTGCGAGATGTAGCGTTAGACGAACACCCAGGTGGTTCGACCTCAGATGGAGCCGGGTCTTGAGAGCAGTGGTGGGTTTCCTTCTATTATCACGCTGTTTCACTGGCATTTTTGCTGACTAATTGCGAAGCTCGCGTAACTTGACAGGACTGAATGGCCGCGTAATGTTTTGGAATGAGCCAGGAGGACTTTGGGTAGTGTTTTTGCGCCATAGGTTGGCGCTTTGCGATCACTTGATGTTGCGAGCCCCGGTTGGCCTCCAACACGTGGTTCTCGAAAAATGCGCCTCAGATGACAAATATTGTTATATAAACTTGCGCCATGTTCCGAACAGATTCAAACATTACCTGAGCTCCACGTACGTTGTGAAGCGCATTTTAGAGGAGCATTATGCACATAGATCAGACAGTAGTAATGGCCTTTTTCCTTGTACAAAGACCGAGAGAATGGAGATATAGATGCGCTGATATTTCGGCGACATGCCTTTCTGGAAACGAATAGCAGAAGTAAATTCTGCTATTGTGCCCTACCCTCTTTGTTTAAACATTCTAATATATGTGCATTGCCGATCTGTCATTAACTGCCTGCACAGGGTGCCAGGAGTAAATTCTGTTATTTTACAGTAAGCTTCTGCTATTCGTTTCGATAGAGGCATATTGCCGACATACAACGCATCTAAACGCATCTCCCGGTTTTTCTACGAGGAATGAGGCTATTACTACTGTCTTATCACTTGAGCCCTTCTTGAGTCGGTGTCTTAACTTCGCCATGCTAAACTACCTTATATAGTCCAGACACTCGGTACTTATAGGATGCTCTCAACAAAGCTGGTGACCCTTTTGCTAGCCCATTCACACCAAGAATGCAAGGTAGGTGTGTACATAAAAGCCAGACTGTGCCCTCGTTGTTTAAGCATTCTAGTATGCATGCCTGGTCAGCCTGCTACTAACTGCCGCCGCAATGTGCCAAAAGTCGCGTTCGCTTGCCGTGTAAAAGTTCATTTTAGTGAATTCTGACAGTGCGTTGATTAGCATGCGGCATTCCAGTCTTCCGTATCATTAATATTTTTTTTTTAAAGTCGCCACCACTCTTTTCTTGTCTTGTACCGTTGGCCGGCAGTGATTGCAGTGTACCGGCCTGGGCGGCAGCAGGCTGCATATTAGTTGTCAGTTCGGTGTCAGTGTCAGTGTCAGTTCGGCCCTGTTCGGACGGAGACCGCGAGCGACCCTGACCTTCCCTTGCCTGCGCGCAGGTCATGTTACTGGGTGACACTGGGGTTGGCAAGACGTGCATGATGATCAAATTCAAGGACGGTCACTTTTTAAGCGGCGCCTACATATCGACGGTTGGCATTGACTATCGGGTAAGCGAGGACGCCCTGCACCGCGGCTGGCCGGCTGCTCTAGACTCGTCCCATGTTGTGCGAGCACCGCCATATCCCGTGTCGTTTGTTCTGCTTGGCGAATCAAGTCGGGTGTTTGCGCTTTGTCTTGTCCTCGCATGGCTCAAAATACTGTGTTGTCTGTCTTAACTGCATGGCTTTTCGGCTGGTGCATCCAGGTTCTGGTACGAATTTTTTGTTCTGTGCCACCTTAGGGTGCGTCTGATGTGTTCCGACTGTACTGAATTTACGTGGCGTTACGCAGAGTTCTTGTCGTCTGACCCGTACTACCCATTTGCTGGGCTGGACAGCTAAGATTTTACGTGAATTTTCTAAGATGACTGAGAGCCAAGATCATCTTAGTGTCCTTTGTCGCTTCTACGAAGCTGTGATGCTTATGTCTCAACCGCCTGTAAGCGGAAAAAATGAAGATTGGATGCATGCAGTTGATAAAATACTGATGAATTATAAATAAATGGTGTGGTTTGATTCACGTTACACAGCTTGTCGTCAGTTTTGTTTTGCAAGCAAGCGACAACGATGAGGGTTTTTCAACCAACAGCTGTCAAAATCATTGTCCTAGGCTATGTATTAATCAAACGCCTTAATCTACGTCACGTGCTCTTTGCTAGGACAAGTGCCATGTTGCAACGATCAAACGCCTATTGGAGACGAGACGCGTTTTTGGGTAGGTAGGCTGTGCCGCAGTACACCGCCGTCCGGCGGTCCGAGCACTCTCACCACACGGCATCGACCCGGGTTATCTGCACGCCGCGGCGACCCTGTGCCCTCATGTGCGGTGCAGGAGAGTGCGGTAGACGACTGTGGCGGTAGCCGCTTCAGCTTACAGCGAATGGCAGTCATGCCACGCTGTGCCGTCTTAGCACTTTTCCCGCGCGTAAGGTGACCAATCGGCGAAGGCACCTGTCTTGTCGGGGATTTCCGTTTCATGCGTTGCGTCTCCATTTTTTGTTTCTCGACGTGCCTTGCTCCACGTGTTGTGCTGTGCTGCTGGGATACTTGAGTTTCGGATCACCGAATTTGGATGCTTGCTGTGGACAGCGTATCAGGGATCCATTTTTGCAGAACACCTCAACTCCATTACCAACATGCATGGGGGTCGTGTATGGTGTGCGCTCGTCGCCGCACCAACCTTTTATTAAATTTTGCATCACTTCATAATGTTTTCGTGCGAAGGATGCTCGTTTTGAGGCTTTTGCCTCAGCAACTTTCGTTCACAATCTGCACGCGTGTTGACCATCGGTCTTTACGTCTCCGATGAAAACTCCCAGTCCAGATCTGATCGAAGAGCATGTCATGTATGCCCTACCTTCATACCTATGCGTCTTGATTTTTTCACGCCAACGGCTCGTTTACATCTCGGATCAATTTTACGAAATAAAGGCGCTTGCATCATTCTAGTGCCGTATAAAAATGACCTCACACCGAGAAAAGCCCAAAAAGGTTACCTGGTTTGTAATGCTGATGGTGAACGAAAGTCTATTGGTGTCAAGTTATTATTCTACGCGATACGGGGAAAGCCGTATAGATGGAAATGTGACAAAAGAGTATGAAAAGGATAAAAACAAAAGGTATACTTCAGCACTAGCACAGCTCCGTGCGCTGTTACTGCTGATCTTAGGCATTAGGGCGATTTCCATCTCCGGTGACAAAACTGGACCAGTCCGAGAGCTACCACTTCGATTAACGCTTTGGCCGTGATCAGCTGCTTTGCCAACAGCTGGACTGTTATCAGCTGATTGGCCTACAGCTGACCGGGGATCAGCTGTTTTGGTCAGGAGCGGAGCTTGGTCGGCCGATGAGCGTGCCCCTGGGAGCAGCAGCGACCCAGAACCGCCAGCTGTTGCCGGCCTATTGATCAGCGTTCGGCGTGCGTCGTGGGACCGCCGGCACCAAAAACCTAGCCGAGCGTGACCGACTTACGGGCGGTCCCCAGCGGACGCGCCGCGCCCCACCGCCGCGGCCAACCTCGGCCCGTTTGCGGGGGACTGACGCTGAGCGAGCAACGGCTGTCGACTCACCGCTACCGCCGCCGCTGCCGGCGCCGGCGGTGAGTTGGTGAGCCCATCTTTGGGTGTCGTTCTGAGCTGCATCCCGGCCGTGGCCGCCGGCCGCTCAAGACGGCACCGACGCTCGACGGAGCGTGACCGGCGCGCTCGTCGAGTCGACGCCGATGCGTCCCCGGGCGGTGGTTGGGTACCCGAGCGTGGCGCTGTCCGGGAAGGTCGGTCCGTCGACGCCCCAGCGCGGGGACGGAGTGCGGACAGGCTGGGTCGATGGCCTCCGGCGCTGGGCGGGGTCGCATGCGCCACCGAGCGCCGGTTTGACCCGCGGTCTGAGGAGGTGGGAACGGTCGCCAACGGACGGTGCTCTGGGGGACGCGCGTCAGACGGGCTGAGTTATCTACGTAGCTCCGTAGGATATTGTATTCATCCCAAAGCACCAGTTTGGAGGGGGAGATATGTTCCTTCGACCGTGTTCATTGATCGAGTATATGGGGTGCCGGTATTGTAGTAGTTAATGCATCTGCGTTGACCAATGCGCGTCCGGGAGACCAGAGGTCCGGGGTTCGATTCCCCGCGGTGGCCTTGTTTCCTGCCAGGGTGAGAGGCAGGCGACACCATATAGCCTCAGCAGCTGAGTGCGTCATGAAGCCCCATTGACATGACATTGATCGAGTATGCATCCTTAAAAGGAACGCCGCAGGCGTTTTAAATCCGGAAAAATACATTGACCAAATGATATATTCATCGCTGCTCAGTGTAAGTTGGTGATGCACGAGTAGACCAACCAATGTGAATTTCGCATGGTTTGTTCAACAATTTCACAAACAAACACTTGTGATCGGCCGCCAATTGGTCGCACTGTGATCACGAATGAGGTAAGTATACTGCCGCTGAGTTTGACCTAGTCCATGATGGATGCACTTCTTATCTATTGCAAAAGTGATCTCACGTTAAACTAGGTTCATTGTTTTTTCAATGTCAGGCGAGGTCCACCGCCAATGCCGGCCTTGTTAGGCCTTCAGACGGCCTTAGATCAATGTTTCTACTAAATGTAACATAGTTCTCAGGTTCGGGCGTACTTCGCTCGAAATATCCTGTTCATTCCTCAGGGACCCATATTCTCAACTTTCGTTTCCAAGAACTCCTGTTGACTTGACCTGTGATGTCACTGTTTCATCTTAAGAGGTCCCACTGGACATGAATGGGACCCCTGGGTAGCCAGCCGACTATTGGTCGCACTGTGATCTTTTAATGCAACCTTAAGCTGAAGCAGAATGGCCAAGATGCATCTACCGCATCCGCAGCTATTCGGGGCCTCTGCCGGTGAAAACCAATGTGATCTTCTTCGAAAAGGACGCCGTCCAGGCTGGCGGAGAGGACTGCCCTCTCCTTGCCAGACGTGCGAGCGAAGATGGCTCCCGCCCGGCAGGGACCAATTTACAAAACTGCGAGCGGTGAGGTTGGACGCCGGTGTGCGAGGCCAGGTGGGCTCACAGTGGGGAATAATTCACGCATAACGCTCCAACTGGACAGAAGTGCTCTGAAAGCCGGCGACGGGGTGAGCCGCGGTCGTGCTCCCGTAGTGACACCCTGAGCACGTGCCTCCTCCCCTATGAAATCAATAACGTGTCGATATGAGTCTAAAGAAAATGTTGATAGTTACAAGTTCGAGGTAGTTTCGTTACACTCAATAGATCAATAACATCAGATGTTGTCTTAAGCTGTTTCTACACGCGGCGCCGTAATCTAAGTTTGCGGTGATTTTTTAGCTTTTCCCCCTCGTGGACAATCCTGCGTACGTCTGTGAGACGCATATTTAGACAGAACATGATCGATTGGGTTAGCCACAGTTCGGGGTTTGGCTTTGGAGACAGTGGAGCCATATCCGACGATGCGCTACCTTGTACGCGCGAGCGGCGGGAACATCGATGTGGGACGGATGTCATGACCCATTACAACACATTCTCAGATTAGATGTGTCGTGTCGCATAATGAACAAAATTAAAACTTCTGAGAATTGTGGTCGTAGCTTTCTCATTATCTTGATCAAACTAAAACCTGTTCCTCAGCTTTTCCTTATTGCAAATTGCGCAGCTGATGCCGGTGTTTAATTCAGGTTGACCCTGAGGAAACCCCACTGTGCATCGCACTGAATACACAAATAAATGTCATTATTTACCTCCAACCCCGCCTTCAATTAACTCTGAGCCCTCGCCGCTCCGGTGAGGATGGCCCAACCTCCTTGGCCCTCGTGAGCGCCTTCTGAAGCATCCGGGACGCGAGGTGGCGATGCATATGCACATGAACCTTTCGGTGTTATCAACAGGGCACATGAGCCTTCTGGTGTTTTCAGCAGAGCGCATGAGCCTTCCAGTGTTATCAGTAGAGCACATGAGCCTTCTGGTGTTATCAGTAGGGCACATGAGCATTCCGGTGTTTTCAGCAGGGCACGTGAGACTGCAGGTGTTATCAGTAGGGCACATGAGCCTTCTGGTGTTATCAGTAGGGCACATGAGCACTCCGCCCTTATCAGCAGGGCACATGAGCCTTCTGGTGTTATCAGCAGGGCACATTAGCCTTCCGGTGTTATCAGCAGGGCACGTGAGCCTGCAGGTGTTATTGAAATAATTTGCATGGCACATGAGCCTGCAGGTGTTATCAGCGGGGCACATGAGCCTGCTGGTGTTATCAGCATGGCACATGAGGCTGCAGCTGTTATCAGCAGGGCTCTCAGCCTAGTTATTTGCTAAGACGTTCGCTATGTCCCCTGCCAGTCCTGACGCTGGAGGTGCCAGACATTATTACACGCAACCGCCTCGATTGAAATTACACGCTGACAACTGACAACTTTTTAGCTGTTTTTGCTTTCATGTGGAGACTGACAATGTTGACAGGGAATCTCTTGCTTGCTTATGTTTTACATAATTAAGCTCCCAATCCACCGGACAATTCCAG